TGGGATGCAGGCATCCCAAGCAGCAGCTTAATGTGCTGTGCCACATCACCTGCATCAGGAGTTTACCTTTTAAAAGCTTTATTTATTTGAGAGGTAGACAGAGAGAGACAGAAAGAGAGAATTCCATCTGCAAATTTACTGCCAAAAGCCACCAACAGCCAGAGCTGAGCCAGGCCTGAGCTAGGAGCCAGGAACTCAATGTGGGTGGAAGGGGCCCAATCACCTGAGCCACCATCCAATGCCTCCCAGGATCCACATTAACAAGTCACACGGAGTGGACCAGACCAAGCACCTGCCTCCGGGGTTCACTTTTCACAGTTATGATAGGGACCAGGACACTGTGCAATTACTTTTACCTTTTCTCATCTCGTTTTATACTCTCATCTAGGATTAGGGGAGATAAACATTGTTCTGCAGGTTTTGGGAAGTTCACACAAGCTAATACATTTACTGATTAATTGTTGCTAATTAACAGTCATTTAACAGAAAATTGGCAGACAAGAATGAACACATAGATATTCTGCCTTTTGCTGTATTTTTTTTTATTATATTACAATATTTTCATTGGCTCAGGCATTTAGAGCCAACTCTTGAATGACACTGTTTTCCAGCCCTAAATCTGTTTTTTCTTTTTTTAAAAATTTGATGTGTTGGATGTGCCAGCTCTCTAGGAACATGACCTTGCAAACAAGTGAGTGCTCGGTAAATCCTTACTGATTTAATTTACTAAATTTCAAAGGAAATTCAGAATCTCAGTACTTTCTGGTGAAAGTTTTAAAGTCTTGAGTCATTTATCTTTTCAACATATTTTTTCTGATCGGATTCTGTTGTTCCCCACAAGATCCCAAACTTGCCTTTTAAGAGCCTCCCTGACATTTCAATCTATTAAACAACCCTGGTGTGTTTGAGACATTTTTTGGGACAGGGTTGGGCGTTTTTTTCCACATTAAAGAAGTTCCAAAGAAGTATGTAATGACAGAGATCAGTAGACCTTTTATAGATTACTGATTAAATTTAGTCATCAACTAAAATTAACACAGAAAGGCAGCAGAAGAAATGTTTAACCACACTGCAATGAAGTTCTAACTTCCAGGCTGCCCTTCTAAGCACAGCAGAGAAGTCTCCAAATGTCAAAGCTTCAGTCTTACTTCTTACAGGCCCAGGCCTCATGAGGCTGAAATAAACCCACATGCCTTTGGGGAGTGAACCAGCAGATGGAAGATCTCTCTCTGTGTCTCTCCCTCTCCGTCTGTAACTCTCTCTCTCAAGTAAATAAGTAAATCTTTCAAAATAAAATACTACCAATAAAAAAGTAAAACCAAGAAACTTTTTCATCCCTGAAATCAAGGCTTATCTACCTACGTACAATCAAATGATGCAGCTTAACCTGGGGAATATGAGAAACAATTAGAATCATTTTCTTGTATCAAACTGAAGTTTGTACACTGTATCAAATACTGTCATCTGTGACTAGTTGTCATTTTTTGTATTAGTTGATATTAGGATTTCCTATGTCCTTGAGGAGAGAAATAGCAGTCTAATTAAAAGTTTCATAAGATGTTTGTCATTTTTTGTATTAGTTGATATTAGGATTTTCTATGTCCTTGAGGAGAGAAATAGCAGTCTAATTAAAAGTTTCATAAGATGTTTGAACTGGGGCTGGCGCTGCGGCACAGCAAGTTAATCCTCCGCCTGTGGTGCTGGCATCCCATATGGGCACCAATTCTAGTGCCAGCTGCTCCTCTTCCAATCGAGCTCTTTGCTATAGCCTGGGAAAGCAGTAGAAGATGGCCCAAGTCCTTGGGCCCCTGCACCTGTGTGGGAGACCGGAAGAAGCTCCTAGCTTCGGATCGGCGCAGCTCTGGCTATTGTGGCCCTTTGGGGAGTTAACCAGCGGACGGAAGTCCTTTCTCTGTCTCTACCTCTCAAATAAATAAATAAAATCTTTAAAAAGAAAGATATTTGAATTAATGGGCTGACCATGAAAGGAGATTTTTCTCTCCTTAAAGAAAAAATAAGTCTCTCAAACCTGAAACCAGGAATTTCAAATAAGCCACCAAGCTACAAGTTTTGTTTGCTATTGATCTCAAGGAATTGATTCTGAGAAAACAGAGATCACGGCTGATGCCATCCATACCGTAATACTGAACCATCCCGGTGGGAATGGCTGCCTCCTCTCCACCTGGGAAGCCTTTCTCAGAACCTGCACTGGACCATACAAACTGCTGTGCCGCTACTTGTCTACATTCCCAGCAGATGTTGTAACAACACAGGAGAAAAATGTGAATATCCATTATTATTTTACTTTTTTAGCATTCAGAATATTGTGAATGATGGATACTGTGAATAAAACATGAAAATTCCCAGGGGGAAAAAAACTTCCAGTGATGATTAAGCTTGTGTTAGCAAAATTCAATTTACTTGATTTCAAGACTATACAAAGGTTTTTTATTTCCTTTTGATTAAGGCCCATTAGAAGTAATCCTGAAAACGCATACCAATATCCAAGCCCAAGGATTGTTTTAAGAAAAGAAATAGTTTAGCTACTTCATGCTTACCTTCCCATGGAGGGGACAACACCTTGCTTGTTCCTAGGTTTTTATTAAAGGTTGTATATTATATATACTCTATAAAGTTTTTAGAGCTGCCCAGTAGTTAGAGAAAATTAGCAAATTTATGTATGCTGCAGCTTCTGTTCATAACTCAATATAACTTGAATAAAATGTTTATTCTCCTCATTAAAGACTATAAACATTATCAAATGTTTCCCATTATGTGTGCAAAAATGATACATTTCAAAGTATTACACTGCCGGTTTGAATATAATTTAGATAATTTTTCCCTTTAGATACTCCATATTTAGATAAAAACTAGAAAAACCATGAGAGGAAACATATTTTCTAGGGTAATAATGAAAAATGCCATGGGGAGATCACTGAGGTGAAAGACTGGAAAGAAGGAAACGAGAAATTATGAAGAGAATGACAATATGGAAGAGGATACTGCCTTAGAGCCGGTGACAGAATATTCATAAGTAACACAATAAACAGTTACATTTAATTTCCTTTAACCTAAAGGAAATAAAAGTCCTATTTCGAAAAAATAACTAATTTGCCAGAGCAAAATAGAAAATAAATAAAAGATATGACAACTTGGATCTTTTATCAAAGTTAAGTTAATTATTTAATATTGCCATATTTGTTTGCTTTAAAAAAAGTGCTATTGGTGCTTTTAAAATAATTCTAAGCCAGGCATCAAGTATTAGTATATTTGTCTCTTCACTTTAACAATAATAAAATTCTAGTTGCTTCCTGCAAGAACACACTCAGCAGGCTGGCAAAAAGCTAAGAATTTTAGGTGTCTTTCAACTCTAGTAAGGAAATTTTCCCTTTCCTTCACAAGATTAGGAAGGGCAAAACAGAACAAGCATACTCACTTTGCAATTGGATACTCCCACATGTATCCTGAACCTCCATGGAGTTGTACACACTCATAAGCAACATGGTTTTGTAACTCAGATGCCCTAGATAACAAAAATAAAAAGCAGAAAAAGAGCATTTGAAATGAATTTTCATTGTTGCTTCACAATCAGGAAAAGATCTGTGATTGTTTAAATGTACACATTTTCAAGCAATCCAAATGACATATTACCCAATCACTGAAAATGATAAATATTACATATGAAAGAAATTAGAAGAGAATTTTCACTCAAAAAATACCTCTCTTCATCAATTACAATTCTGACTGGGTTTTGTTAAAGCTAGAAACAAAATGTGGAAAACTTAAGACTATTAATTCTGGCTTATTTAGACTTGAAAAAAGATAAATCTTGAATTTGGTCTAACTTCAATTCTCTACATGATCTATTATTTAGACTTGAAAAAAGATAAATCTTGAATTTGGTCTAACTTCAATTCTCTACATGATCTAAATCCTCAGCCGTCTAGTTCCTCTTGCTCTTGTAGTATGCCTTTTATTCACACTCTGTACCTGAAGACTACAGTTCTGAATTTCAGGAACTGAAAATGTTTTCTTAGGGTTCTGACTTTTCAAAAATAAACTGGGTAAAAATAAACTGAAAATGAAAATTCAAGATGACAGACTATTAAGTACATACCATCAGACAGAAAACTTACTAATTATTATTTAGAGAGTGGGGTTTATGGCACAGAAGGTTAAGCCAGAACTTGGGACACCCATATCCAGTATTTGAAGGCCGGTTGGAGTCCCAATTAGCCTGTTTCTGATCCAGCTCCCTACTAATGCACCTCAATGAGACGCCCAAGTACTTCAGTTCTTGCCACTCATATGGGAGACCAGGATGCAGCTCCTGACTCCTGGCTCCTGGCTTCAGCCTTGCCCAGACCTAGCTGTTGTAGTCATTTAGGGTGTAAACCAGAAGTGAAAGTTCTCTTTCTCTCTGTCTAAAATAAACAAACAAATTTTAAAAATTATTTGGGGGTTATTATTCCTGAAGTAAGCATATATTTGTTTGAATACATCTGTGTCTATATTTTTTAATGTGAACTACTTGAGAAAAAATTATTTTCTGACCCTTTCTCAACACTTTGAATGTTAAAATTCTTAAGATAACTGGTAGGAATTTTATTTACAAATACAAGTTGGTTTAAAATTATTTTTCTAATTATTTTTCAATTGTGGGAAATAAAGCAAATGGTAAGCACAGATCCTTTTTTAAAAGTAATTTTAACTAAAGCCATAGGACAGAGGAGGATGTTCCTAAGAAATACAGTAACAATATAATGATTCACAGACAAGACTCTGGAGGCAGTGATAGTTGGAAAGCAATATTTTTTTTTTTTTTTTGCATTTGACAACTAGTTTAGTGAAATATTTACAGGTCTCTAACTAGCTGCTTCTTCTGCTTCAATGTTAAATACCAATATGTTTATAAGCTTAATAAGGTTAATAGCTATCCAAACTAGTTTTTTTCAGAAATTATCTAAAAAATGTTTTACATTTCTTCCCACTGTTCAAAGAACTTGCTGTTAATGTAAATGTAAGAAGTCTCCTCCCAAAGTGCCAGCTCCTGTAATTCCACATTACTTCAACCTGGCAACTTCATCAACACAGAATCATCACATAGAGCACGACTCGGCATATTTCCTCATGTTGCTTATGACTGAAACGAACAGAAGTTAATGAATAATTGTAAGAATTTTTCTAGGTTATTTTTGGGTTAATGATATGTGAGAATGTTTGCTTTTAACAGGAAGAAACGAAATCCACTTTCAAAATCTGACTTAGACATTATGTGCTTGTATGTTAAAACACACAAAAGTTTTAAGGTGGGAAGTGTCTTTTTAACTCATTTTTTACTCTGTCATTAATCATCTTTAATTCAAATGAAAGTCTTTCATAACTTAACACAGGTCACATTTTTCTTTTCGATTAATAGAGCATGTGAAACTTTTATTTGAATTGTCAATTCTTCAAGATTTTTTTCTTACATCTGAAATGCAGCTTAAACAGAAAAGTCCTGTTCAATCTAGTCATTTCATCAATAACAAAAAGTTGTCCCGGGGGAATTAAGTTTAATTATATTTATTTAATGAAAGAATTGGGATTCCATCTCAAGGCTCTCAAGTATTCTTCTCTTTCAGTCTATTTTGCTATTCTTCAGATAATCTGAAATTAAACTATTACTTGAATGAAGTAATCAGTCATCCTATATCAGTCTCAGTATGTTACTTTCCACAGCAAGTTAAGAATTAAATACAAGCTTAACTAAATTTTAGCACATTATAAATAGACTTAATGGAATTTTCAGCAATTTTTTTTAAAGTTGGCTCCAATTGCTATTTTTCATTTGCACAGCTTTCCTTTAAGACCCTCAAGGCTGAGTTTAAAGCTGGCAAAGTTCCCAAACATTCTCAGCACATTTTTAATTGCCGTAACACACATACCAGTATTTTGCCATGGAAGCACCGGCAGAGTCCAGACGTTTTCTGTCATGCAGCTGGAGACAGCTGTCCACAAATGCTCTGGTCACACATATGTTCGTTTTTAATTCTGCTAGTTTATGCTGCACAGTCTTCAGTTTAAAGAAAATGAAAGAAAGCAATGAGTATGTTAGAAGTACACAATTTTTCACTTACATATCAAAAAATGTATAATAAAAGATCTTCAGAGCAAAACGAAAGTGGAATTACTGTTTTTTCCTTCCTAAAAAGGGAGAGGAGGTATGTGTTAATTAATCAGCAAAATTTTTAAAAGTGCTGTATTTATTGCTAAGGAAATGCCTATTAAAAGATGCAACAATAAATAAATATGCAAATAATATTTCATGTTTCAGATTCTAAAACAAGAATGAGGTGGGCATTTGCCACAGTGATTATGATGCCACTTGGGACACCCTCATCCCAGATTGGAATGGCTGGGTTCAAGTCCTAGCTCTGTTTCTGATTCCTGTTGATGTACGCCGTTATGTGAACAAGTAATTGGGTCTCTGCCCAAATGAAACCCAGATGAATTCCAGGCTCCTTCCTGGCTTTGACCTGGCCCAGTCCCTGTTGTTTGCAGGCATTTAGCAAGCCAATCAGTGTGTGCAAGAGATCTCTTCGTATGTCTGTCTGTCTCTGTCTCTCAAATACAATGAAAATAAAAAATGACTGAGACTATTAGAAGAAAAAGCTCTTAACAAATAGCTTGGTTTTAATGTGTGAGCACCATCTTGTGGTACAGTCCTTTAGGTACACTTTTGTCGCTCCCCCTCTTCGTGGAGGAACGACACAGGACCCTGCGCTGTTCCTTTGTCTGCTCGGCCCTCCCCGGGTTTGCTGCTGGTTCTTCCCGGGTTGGCTACCGACCCTTCCACCTCCGTGGAAGGGCGGTTCCCCCTAGCCACTTTCCCCACTTCCGCGGGGGAGTGGCACACCGCCGGCCGGCTCTCTCGGGGGCTGCACAGGTGTTCCTCAGGTGTTCCTCTGGTGCATGTTGTCTCTCTCCTCCTTTATAGTCCTCTTCCACCAATCCCAACTCTGCTACCCACACGCTGAGTACGCTGCTCTCCTCCAATCAGGAGCAGGATCAGCTCCTGCAGGTCATCACTCAAGCTGGCGAGAGGCAGCTGCGTGGAAGTTGTTACTCCCTTCTCAGCGCCATATTGTGGGAGAGCAGATGCATAGAATAAGTCTTAATTCCAGTAACTTAGTCTAGTCCGAGTTACTCCCCACAACTTTCCTCCCAGTGACTAAATCCTTCAAGATTTTTTTCTTGAATGAAATTAATTATATATATTTCTCTATTCTGCTTCTTTGTCTCAGAGTAAAATAAAGTAACAAGCTGAATGGGCAAAGTGGACCTGGATATCCCTAAACACAACAAATCAAAAATATTGATTATATATTATTTCATATTGCAAAGTATTTAATCTGGATCTGTAAAATGCAATCAAAGAATAATAGAATCAGGGCAATAAGGAAAAAGTCCAGTACCTCGCATCCTCCTTTGTCTCCCTCCTATCTCTCTCAATAGTTTTTCTAGTTTGGTCTCTAACTTGAATTAAATCATTTAATTCTCAATGTTAATATCAGAATACTTTTGAAAGTTCATGGGAAAATGGAAGTAAAAGGTAAGTTTATTCTGGTATAAAAATTTTTAAAACCTATGCATAGTGTTCTCATAAGACACATCTCTCATGAACTCTTTGAGGATCCTACATAGTCTACGTCGTACCTTCTGCTGCCCATGGACAACCACTAGTATCCTTGGTGCTTGTTCTGTTTAGATCACCCTCAGTTCTTCCTGAGTGCTTTCACTTCAAGTTTTGTTTCATTCCTGTCTCTTGAACTTTGAGTTTTTATGTTCTCTTTGGCACTGACTCTTGAAGCACCTTCAGAAAATAGGCTTAGACTTGAAATACTTGTTTTCCAATCTGGCTAGCCTCCAGAAGTACATCCCATTCTAAATGACTTCTTAGGTCTAAGGCCCAACCATGGTCTCTGGCTAGATCTTCCTTCTGGAAATTCATACAGAATTCAATTCAGTTAAAAAATGAGCAAAAGGGGCCAGTGCTGTAGCTTAGTGGGTACAGTCACCACCTGTAGCACTGGCATCCCACATTGGCTCTGGTTTGAGTCCTGGCTGCTCCAGTTCCAATCCAGCTCCCTGTTAATGGCCTGGGAAAGCAGCATGAAATGGCCTATGTTCTTGGGGCCCTGCTACCTACTGGAGACTCAGATAAAGCTACTGGCTCCTGGCTTTGGCCTGGCCCAATCCTGGCCATTGTGGCCACTTGGGGAGTGAATCAGCAGATGGAAAACCTCATTCTCTCTCTCTGCTTCTTTGTAAGTCTGACATTCAAATAAATAAATAAATCTGAAAAAAAAAATAAGCAAAGGACCTGAATAGACATTTCTCAAAGAAGAAACATGAATGGCCAAAAAATATATTAAAAGAAAATGCTCCGTATCAAAACTACAATGCAAACCCAAACCACAATAAGTTGTCCTCATATTTCAATCAGAATGGCTACCGTGAAAAAGACAAAAAAACTAACAAATTCTGGTGGGGAAAAGAAAAAAAAAGGAACGTTTATACACTGTTGGTGTATTGTAGAGAACAGTATATGGGAACTCCTTAAAAGATTAAAAACAGATCAACCAAATGACCCAGTTATCCCACTCTGGATATATACCTGAAGAAAATAAAATCAGTATATGAAAAGAAACAAATTAAAAAGAAAAAAAAATTAAAAAAATACAAAAAGAAAAAACCAGCATATAAAAGAGATATTTTCACTTCTATGTTCATTGTAGCATTCCTCACAATAGCCAAGATATGGAATCAATCTAAGTGTCAATTAAAGGATGAAGGGATAGATACAATGCATGTGTGTGTGCATGCACACACACACACACACATATACATATGTATATATATATATACACATGCATAGCTATATCTATATTTAGAGAGGATTATTATTCTGCCATAAAGAATGAAACCCTGATATTTGCAGCAAAAGGGACAGAACTGGTATCATTAAGCAAAAAACAAGCCAGACACAAAAAGACAAATGCATGTTCTTGCTCACATGTGGAAATTAGTAATAGTTACAATGTATATTATAATTATAATGCATATTCAATTAATGTCATACTTTCAATGTATATTCAATTCAAACTTGAAAAATATTTATTTATTTGAAAGGCAGAGTTACAGAGAAAGAGAGACAGGGAGAGACAGAAAGAGATCTTCTATCCATTGGCTCACTCTCCAAATGGCCACAAAGACCAAGGATGGGCCAGGCAGAAGCCAGGGGCCAGGAGCTTCTTTCAGAAGGTCTCCCAGGAGCTTCATCCATGTATCCCACATAGGTGCAGGGGCCTAAGCACTTGGGCCATCCTCTGCTGCTTTCCCAGGTGCATTAGCATGGAGCTGGATTGGAAATGGAATGGCTGGGACTTGAACAGTATATATATGGGATGCTGGCATTGCAGGTGGTACCTTTACCTGCTATGCCACAATGCCAGCTCCTCAATTAAAATTTTAAAAAGTTATTTCTAGAAGTGGAGAAGAACAGGGGCAGAGGATTGGGTGCAGGTTGGATAACGTATACTTAAACAGTAGGGGAAATATAACAGTTTCTGGTGTTTGAAGTACAGTGATGATGATGTATAGTATCTTGTATAAGGAACTAGAACACAGGAGCGGTAGATTCCAAGCAAATAAAAGATAAGAAAATGGAAAACTAGTTGCCTGGTAGTGTTGATTTAAGCTATATATATATATATATATATATATATATATATATAAAAGTTGCATTGTACCCCCTAGAACTGTGCAAGTACTATGTGTTTATTCAAATTTTCAAAACTGAAAAAAGACAGTCCAAATCATCTAGCTGTGTATCTTATGTGTGAGAAATTTACTGTGACTAACAGAAAGCATTACACATGGTAGTTGGTGACAAAAGTGGTACAGTGAAACAAACTAGAAATTAAATACATCCTCAAGGGAGCATGCTGGACCTGCTTTCACTGCTGCCTACAGTAATCCTCAAACCACAAAGCTGAATTTGAATTGTTCCACGTCATTGGTGGTGGTGACAGTTTTTGTACTTTCTCTCTCTGGAAAATACAGTAATGGGAGTATAATGATACCCATGGAGGATATTGTGTTGTGCAGTGTTGTGCGGCCAGTGAAGCTGCCACCTGTGACGCTGGCATTATACACTAGAGTGACAGCCTGAGTCCCAGCTGCTCTGCTTTGGAAGCTACCTGCTGAAGCACCTGGGAAAGCAGAGGAAAACAGCCCAATTTGCTTGAGCTCCTGCCACCTAGATGGGAGGCCAGATAGAGTTCTGGGCTCCTGGCTTGGGGCTGGCCTAGCCCTGACTGTTGCAGGCATTTGGAGAGTGAATCAGCGGATGAAGATCCCACTGTGTCCCACCCTCCCACTCTGTCACTCTTCCTTTAAAATAAATAAAACAAATCTTAAAAAAAAAAAAAAAAAAAAAAGAAAAAACACTGTCATTCCATTGGATTTCTCCATCTTCTTCTAGGAACAGAATGGACTGGCATCTAATGATTTTCAAACCAAGCAGAGGGAAGGTTGGTGTCATAGACTCCTTCCATCTCTATCCTGGCCTTTAATTCTGAACATGCTGGATTACTCAAAACTTTCTTTCCTTCTCATTCTTTTCCTTATGCTTCCTAGCTTCATTTCTATTTATTATGTATTTTTAAAAAAATTTATTTTATTTATTTGAAAGAGAGAGAGAGAGAGGTATCTCTCATCCACTTGTTCACTCCAGATGTCCGTGTCAGTTGTGGCTGTGCTAGGGTCCAACCAGGAGGCCTGGAATTCAACTGTGTCTCCCGTGTGGGTAGCAGGGACCACAAACACCCAGGCCATCTTCCACTGCTTTTTTCCTAGGCACATCAGCAGGGAGCTGGCTCAAAAGCGGAGCAGATGGGACTCAACCGGGTGTCCATTTGGGATGCCGGTACTGGGTGCTACAGCTGTACCACAGCACTGGCTCCTATTCACTATATTTTTAATTAGGCCAGAGCTCTACCCTTTAATCAGCCAAAGTTTCCCATTTCCACTCTATAAATTCAATTTAATTATAGAAAATATAAACATGGAATAAGAAATTAAAAAATGGGGAAATAACCTACATACTGAAAAACAGATGAGTATATATTCAATGAAAACCCCAAAAACTGAGTTTTAAGCCTACTCCTGGCTTAGTTCAGCAGCACCATCTGCAAACTTCATTTGGAAAACAAAGGGGAATCTGACAAATCTCTAAATACTTTTGACTCTATGTGAAGCCAGATTTGAAAATTTATGCAGATTTACAATATGAGAGAATCAAGATCCCAAAGCCTGATTCTCCCATGTGAATGTTGGCAATTCCTAGAAGATTAATTTAAATTTCATCCGGAATGGAATAACTTATAATTCTTACTTCAATGCATTCAGTAAGGTCCAGAGGTCTGAAAGAATTAATGCCTCCAAGGGTACATAATTTACTCTCTGTGGATAAAGAGATGCATTGAGCTGGGCATTACTAAACAGAATTGGACTTTGCTTTTCACTGCAGACACTGCATAGTGCTTTCTGAAATCATTAGCTAACAAATGGCAGCTAATAACTGTACCACACATTATT